TCAATGTGATTCACGAGCAATATAATAGCCGTTAAAATAGCACTAAAAACGTCAGATGCCGAAAGAACGTAAAAAGACAATTTCTTCTTGCGTTTACATCCTTTCCATAACAGAATCACAAGCGTAATAAAACTGGATAGCAACAGAGTGTAACCTGTTGCATCTAGCACCGCGGAATGCATAATGTGATGGTAGATCCTCCTCGATTAAAAATATTTGTCTTTGTTTATTGAAACTTATTTACATCGATTATTTGCAAAACTACTACACCTTGAGATTGATAGAAATCGACTGAATAAAGTACTTGTTATAAGCATATGGGTACTGCATACTATATGTGGGTACCCAGTTAACGTGCCTAATGCAATTTAGATTTATCTGTATTGTATTGACTGCATATGAGGGCAAAATATCAACTTATCAATTTAAACGTTGCTGATGGTTCAATTATCTATATTTTTACTGTTATGAATTTGTAATATTTATTTTATTGGTAGTTTAATTACACCATGAAACCGCTTAAGGAAATAATAATTAAGAATAAAAGAAATAAAGTATTTAATGATAGCGTTTAAACATGAATATCAGATCGCTTTTGATTGAGATTTAACTTAATATAATAATTAATTGTTTCATCAAACAAATTAGTGAAAATTATTACTTGAAAATAATTAGCAATCTTTTTTATTGTATAAGTATATTATATGTAAGTTATATAAGTTTTTATTATATAAATGATAAGCCTATAAGAGTCTCTGCGGGTGTTAAGTGCATAAATAATATATTTATAAGACGATAAGATATAATTCACAAACAATTGAAATGTACTTATCAACGAAGTTAACTGTAACTGTTTCGACTCTAGATTTCAGTACAGTTCTCTTATCACCTTATAAATATATTATTTATGCACTAACATTAGTAACAATTGCGGAGGCTCATATAAGCAATTTACTTACATTTGTTTTATTTTTGAAGCCACAAAAATATTTTAACTCTTTTTAAAATTCTTTTTGTATGAGTAACTGATTAAATATTTTGTTTTTCCGTTGAATAATTTGGATATAATAGAAATATTAAAACTCAGGAAGAAAACAGAAGTATACGAATGAATTGCATAAGTTATTTCTTGTTACAGTTTGCTATCGATATGTCTGTACGTCGGAGAAGCGATCCATCTATGATTCAGCGGATTTGGGATACGATCAAAATCACGGTACATCAAAGAAGTTTACCTAGTAATGATCGTATGGTACGGCACATGGCTCGAGTTTACGGCTTTACGGAACAAGAGGCTCAGGAGGAACTCAATAAGGCAGTCGAAGATGGACTCGTTCTGTTGAAGAAAGTGCCCACGAAAAGCGGTGTCGAGCAAGAAAGTTACAGATTGCCACCAGCAGACATATTACAGAATGATAATCACGATTGGTACTGTTGCAAATGCCAGCAAGCAGGTGCGGTCGAATGCTGTGAACAATGCTGCAGGGTTTATCATTCGGAATGCCATGTACCTAGCACTGCAAAACTAAAGATTTGCAATTTCTGCGAGGTAAGTATCTCGAAGCTTTCAATATATATCCTATTGATGATATTCCATTAAAAGTACAATTATCTTACAGAAAACAAACAGCGATGTATATTCCGACAAGGTTGATCTCAACCATATTCTTAGTTTTACGTGTGGCCATCTAAAAGCGAAATTACCGCCGGAAATTACAAATCGTACCATTGTTTTTAACAACGATCCGATCGTTACACCACCCAATGGCTTTTCCGGACCAACCTGGGTGAGTGAAGGTGAAGATGCATGGCGACCAGGAATTCTTATAAAACGTCACATGGATTTGGCGATAATGGATGCGAAAACGAACAATAATGAGTATAACAATCTCGCCGAATTTGAGGCTGATGCACATAATATTCTACATAACATCATTATATATCATGGAGGTAAGAGATTTATAATTCGATGCATTTTCTCTTTTTAATCTCGTTATTTTGTTGCTTGAGCAGTTAATAGCGTGATAGCGGATATGGGACGCACGATGTATCAGGATTGTTGTTACGATCTTCAAGAAATACGTCGTTGCGCTGATTGTTATCGTATATCGAATGAAAAATCCGAAAAAATGTGGTTCTGTATACCGTGTAATCCTCCTCATCAACTGGTCTACGCGAAGCAAAAAGGATATCCATATTGGCCAGCGAAAGTCATGCAAGTTAATGGCAATGTATATGATGTGCGTTTTTTCGGAGGTCATCATATGAGGGCTAATATCGAGAAAGTTTTTATTCGGCCAATCTCTTCCACATTACAAAGTTTGCAGGTAAAAATCTAAATCTGAATACTCTGTATTACTCATCCGATATTTTAAAAACACCTAATTAAAGATATTAAATTTATTGTTTATTCGCAATGAATAATTTCGTATCATAATTGCGATAGAAAAAAAACTCTCAGAAGAAATCAATTTAGAAACTATTATATTTTTAAAAAAAGAAATGACAAGAATCAGAGACGATAGTAACAGTTGAAAATATATAACTAATTCTTTTCTAAGATATTTGATTTTATAATTGATAAAAAAATTTCAATTTTTTTAATAATTAAGAATGTTTTTATAGATAAAAAAATCAATGGCTTGGAACAGAGCTTTTGAAGAGCTAAAACATCATCAGAATTTGTTGCAAAAGTTGGCAAAGAATAAGGAAGATGACTCGAATACAACAGAGGACGCTCCTACACCCGCAAAAATGCGAAAGTTGGAATCGTCAGGTTCTAAAAGTGCATCACAAGATTCTAATTCACCAAAGCAATTGATTAAAGATTTGAGAGTAAGAGTTGAACGCTTGAGTTCAGAGAGCAATACTGAAACGCAAAATGTAAACGACGAGACGGATAATAAACAAGATGCTACGAAAACTGATGCTGAGAATGAAGAAAGACAGGTGCCCCGTTTACCTGTGGCGGAAGACGAACCCGCGGGAGAAAGCATAACGAGCACATGTCCACAAGGTTTAAAAAAGGAAGGTTCCCAAGAAGATATGGTAACGTCTAGTTGTCAAGAACCGAGATCGAAATGCGTTCTCGTACAAACTGAACAAATACAAACGGATGGGCTTCCTGCCAAGGTAAACCTTTGCCCCAATCACGTACTCATATTATATTATACGATTATATCTTGACAACTGTGCAGATTAATTTGCAGATTAAGAGAGAACGCAGAACTTCGGAACAACCTACGACAACAGCGCTAGAAAAATTGCGCCGTGAATTAGAGCTTGAAAAATGCAGAGAATTAGAGAGACTACAAGCGGAGCATGCCAAAGAATTGCGGCAATTAACCGATAGACATCAACAAGTCGTCTCTGACATAAAAAAGAAACAATGGGTAATTTTCTCTCTTTTTTTTTCTAGTCGTTTTTTTTAGATATATTATTCTTAAATGTTCATCATTTGTTATAGTGTTATAATTGCGAAGCTGAAGCGATATATCATTGTTGTTGGAATACTGCATATTGCAGCACAGACTGTCAACAGGTTCATTGGCAGCGTGAACATAAAAGAGTGTGCAGGCGTAAGCGTTAATTTATGTTGACAAATACATTGAGTACAATGACATATAAGAAAGTATATATATATATACTTATATAAAGGTATAAGCACTTTTTAGTCTGACGAAAAGAATTTTCTCTACTTGTTTATCTGAACGCTTTTTTCATACCTTGTTGTATATAATATATGTATAAATGTGTGTGTATGCATGTGTATACAGTGTCCCAAGTTAATATTGAACAGAGAATACCATTTATCTTATTATTTTCCCAACAGTTCTGATAATAGGTTTTGTGTTACAAGCAAAAAAATTTGAAAATTAAAAAAAATTTTGTGAGACAAAACTTTGAGAAGATAAATAAAATTAAATGTGATTTAAATTAATCAAAGACTTCAAAGAATAAAATTGTTTCTGGAAATATAGACTATATGTATGCATATATGCACACATATCAGAGAATAATAGTAAAAGCACATTAATATATTCTTGACACCAATTCGATATGCCTTCGTAAACTTCCTTTCTAGGAAGAACTGTTATATGTACACGCAAGTCTTAAAAGACTATTTTTACTTGTATCAAGCTACATAAAACAAAATAGTTTTTAAACATAGTTTTATACTTATTGATATTTATATATTTACGCAGATTCTGAAAAGATATAATGATAATCATATGCGCGAAAATAATTCGTAAAAGGTACATATATATTTGTTAATCTTTTTGATCTATTATTTTTCTAGATAAGTTTTTGTTCCTTATACAGTATAATTAATAACAGACCACAAAACGTAATTACATCTGTCATAATGTGAACAAATATATATTGTTATTTCAGTCATTAATTAACAGTTATTCATCATATTTGTCTTGGAATGTTATCTTTTTGCAATTCTTACTTTAATTTATCAGAGTGAAATGATTTCTTTAAATGTGGAAACGGTAAGTCACACAGAAACATTCAATATATTTATTTCATAATTCATATGTAACAATCTCTTATAACATATACAAGATGCCTTTATATATGTTATATGTATCTGGTGTATATTATAAAATCTAATTGGATATGTAACTATTTGTGCTGGATCACAGTAAATACTTAAATAATAGAGAATAATTTATATTTGAAATTATTCATATATTATTTATATATTAAAAGTTATGTATATGTTTCTTATATTATTTATCTTTGATTACTTATTTATATTTAAAATCTCCATAATACAGAATCATTTCTTTACATCAAATAACTATCAATATTATATTCCTACTACATTACAGTAAAATCCATAAGTAATTTAATTGTACAGTTTACCACATACATTTCAATTTGCAAGCGTAATAGCATCAAAACTTTATTTTAAATCATGAATAATAAAAAAAAGAATAAAAATCTAAGACACATTATATGAATACAAGTTATTCAGTAAAAAAGCTCTTTAACGAAACTTAAAAAATAGTCATAAAAAATAATTAAAAATAACATAACATTGTTATAACAATTACCAACGATTAATTCAAGTATCTTGTGTAGCTTTAACTTCCTTGCCAACTACATCTAGAGCCATTTTACCCTTTCCCGCTGTTTCGGTAATTTGCACATACCTGGTGGTATCTATATTATTTAAAGATAATCGTTCCAATAACTGTAACTCAGACGGTTCTAATTTTTCTCCAAGTTGCCTCAAAGCACTTAATATTTCTCCTCGTTGACGAACGGCGGCTTCTTTGTTCAGTTTTCCTAATTTTACATCTCGATCGATTTGCGAGAGACGTTCCTTGAGTCCAGTAGGTTCCCTCTTACCAAACATTCTTATTACGGCTGGTGTTTGGAAGGCGGCACTGATGGCTGCTTGAGTTGCCTTAAGAATTTACAGTCAAGTAGAAACATATACTAGAATGTGTCACATTACTGTAATTTGTTAAGAAAAATATACAAGATATATACCAATTGCATTGCTCCAAGTTCATCGACTAAAGTCATATTCCCAGATATCATTCTTTGCAAGCTCTCGTTAAACTCACGGAGTTGTTCCATGGTGTCTTCCTTACTTTCCTGATAATCTGTTTCATCTAGAGTTTCGTTAACTCTGTTAACAAATAACAAAGAAAATAAAAATATATATAAATGTAAAATTTTTGAAATGAATCGGAACGAAACGAAACCTGCAATCTTCCAAATCTTCTAACTGCTGCACGAGCCGATCCAATTGTTCTTCCAAATTCTTCCTGAGTCTGTCGGTTTCTGCTTTTCCGTGAGAACTCATTTTGCAGCGATGAAAACGTAGAACGGGGAACGAAAAAAAATGTATGTAACGATAAAAAGGTAATGTATAGGTTAGGATTAGGTTAAAAATGCCGAAATGATATATATCGCAAAATATTGTATTAATCTGTTAAAAAAAGAGACAAAATTTCTTCATTCGTTATTTATTTACAATACTTCGCAATGTCGCAGAAATATAAAAATTGTATAATGGAAAGTTCACATTAAAGCAGAAAAGCAGAATTTGACAGAATTTCACATTTATTAAAATTAGTGAACCAATCAAAAGTTGCACTGGTACCAAAAAGGTGCCTGCATTCTATAGATCTGTATTTCTTTATGGTTACACTTTTGAAACTTAAAGTGAGATAAATATATGTTTAATCTTTGGTGAGAGCGAGAAGAGAGTTCCAGTGCAGATTAGTGCAGGAATAAGAGACCTGTTAATTTAATTTGGGAGCTTTTCAGCAGAGGCACAAATCAACACAAGAGTTATTCTACCTTTGTTTCTTACTGATTATTGAACAAGGACAGAATGATTCTTGTGTCAATTTGTGTTTCTGAAAAGCTCTCTTTATTATAAAATAAAGTATTATAAAATAATTATTATAAATAAAATAAATAATTTAATCTGACTATAAATATTGGGTTATCTAAAAAGTATCCGCGGTACTTTGTCACTAGATATATGACCATCAACACACATCTAGTGACAAAAAACCGCGGATACTTTTTAGATGACCCAATACCTATTATGATCGATATTTGTAATCGATTTTTATATTTAAGACTGTTTTAAGATATCATGAACCATTTAAAGATTGATATTCATAGTCCGTTCTTATCTTAAGATCGTCTTAATTAAGTAATATCTTAAAATCCCAACACAACCTTCTGATTGGCTTATGATACCTTAAGATAGTTCCTGGATGTCCTAATATTATATATCAATGATATAATATTATGGATTTCCCAAATATTTTTGTATGCAATACTTTTCGAGAATAAAATCTACTGTGTCTCTTGCTGGAAAATACATTCAATTCTATTCAATTTTACAGATTAACTTTTTTGTCCAGTTTGAAGACGTTGATTGGATCTCGCGTACGTTGGATTCCATTCGAATGAATAGATCTGTTCGCGTTGCTTGCACTTTTGGCACTCGACATCTTCGTTTTCTCCCTTTTCAAGGCAAAATATTGTTTTAATTTCATACAACACAAACAGATCTAATTGACCAATACGTCCTTGTTGCGCGGATCAGTTGAAGTCTATTCACGTTGCTTGCACATTTTCCATCAAACATCTTCGCTTTTTTTCCTCTTCGACGCGCGAATATAATTTATCTCATTTTAAGTGCAAAAATTTTGGAGATTTCAAGCAACGCGAACAGAGATTTGTTCGCGTTACATGAAATCTCCAATATATAGCAAATTCACTAGAGTATTCATAATTTAATTGGTCAATACCTAGTAATCTTTGCTCAATTTTGTAATTTTCATTTCCTTTCAAAATCCACAATCGATCCCGAGGGTATCAATCAAGAAACTTTATTCCTTAAGATGGAAAGTGAAAAGTGCAAATTTTTACCATTGAATTATTAATGAAGAAAATTTTTACTTTTCATCCTAGGGAAAAAAGTTTCATGATTGATACCCTGATCTTTAGTCAGCAAAAGAAAATGGCAAATTCCCTAGGGAGGCGAGATTCACCGACTAACATTCACCATTTCCTAGGGTCAATCTCGATGGCGGAAACGTCGAGTGTTCGGAAGCGTGGTCATTCCCCTACGTCATTACGAACGTCGCGTCTGGTAAAGTCTGGTTCGCGACACGAGTCTCGAGTCGCGACGTCGCGTCGGACAGGCAGTATCAGTAGGACCGAGTGAACGATCGAGTACGCGTGGTAACGGCATTACAGACTACAGTCTGAGTCTCGTGATTCGTGACGGTCGCGTGGTCGCGTATTGATATATACAATAAAATAAAACATTGCTCCGTTCCTCATTAACTTAGCCGGTGAACGGTTGATTATGCGAAGAGAGATCGCGTTTAAGCGAAAGGTTCCTCTCTCTGGTACTGTTTGGTGTGCGGACGATCGAGCGGAGATCGCGGGATTACCGCGAAAAACGAACGATCGTCGCGCGGCGGGATATATCGCGGACGCCCGATATACGGTGGACAGAAGTGCGCGACGGGAACACGTAGGAGAATCAAGCGTGCGGTTCTTTTTCCCCTGTTGTCCCCTGTTGTGTACGCGCGAAATCGTATTTATCGAGTGAACTTAAGGGAGTGCGGGAGCGCGCGCGCGCGCTCTTGCTCGTGCTCGTGCTCGGCCCGATCGTTTCGATCGTTTCTGTGGGATCATTGCCGATCGCGTTGCCGTGGCACGATCCGGACGCGTGATCGTTCCCCGATCGCGGAATTATTTATCTTCCAAGGTCGGTGAGGATCCTGAAATCAGGCGAGTAAATCGGCGTGAAAACTGAAGCGGTACGTGGGCGAATAAAATAACGTACCTATGAGTGCGACTCGCGTGAGGTACCAGGTTTCTAAGGACAGTTCGCACGAGGAAGGTCCACGATTGCGATGAGCATGCCGACGAAGGGGAAGCACCACCACCTGTCCCACCATCATCACCCGCAACACCACTCGCAGCCGCAGCAACATCACCAGCCGCAGCAGCAACAGCCCCATCACACCCCGCCGCAACATCCGCACCAGATCATCCTGAACCAGCCCGTCGTGCATTCCCCGCAGACTTATAGCGCTGTCGTTACTACCAACACTCGCTTCCTGAATGCCGGTAAGTCTTTTCCAAGTATTTCTGCGAGGACCGTGTCCTTCCGAGGGACGATTTACTTGTAATTCGTATTTGCCTTGTCGGACGTGAGATATTTTCATATTATTTTGATATTAGTCGACGATGTGCACGAGGATGCCCTGGCGATCCTCGTTGTGTCGTCCGATGATTCTACTCGTCGCGCATGCGATTCCACGGGGGGGAAAAAAGTGTTATTTGAGGTTAGGACGACCACGCGGCATGTGGCACGTACGCCACGAGAAGAGAGCACGTCCTTCGTTTCTCTTTTTATAAACGATTCCTGCGGTCGATCCTGTACGTTTGAACGAGGTGAAAATTGAAAACGCAAACATACTGGAATACATCTATTTATAATTGCATCGGCCAACGCCTAGTAAATTTGCTCACCTTTATAATTCTCACTTCGGTTCAAAGCACGGAATCGACCTCCTTTGTACGTATTATGGATTTATTCGGAATTGTTCAATTATTATTATTCCTTAAATTTCTATTGTGTTTTTTTAGAAAAATATTCGGAATAATTCCGAAAAATTCCCGTGATACCGATATTTTCGATTGTTCGATGTAAAGGAAGCTCGTTCGATATCCGCGTAAAACGAGAGGCCAGAAGTGGATGTACAGTTTTTGTGATGAAAATTTAAAAATACAAATCGGCAAATTACTTCCTTTATCGTAAGTCGCGCTGAAAATTGACGTGTGTATGTATGCCAATGGAAAACGGATCTCCGGAGAATGAAAGTTTAAAGGAACGATTCGCAAAAGAAAAAAAAATAGTTATTTTTTCTCTTCCTTTCTCTCCCGCCTCTGTTAAATTCGATTACGAATGTTAGATCTGTTCTTTTTAACCGAACTTCTTGCATCATTCATCTTTTTCTTTCTTTTTTTTTGTGGAGAGAAAAAAAGAAAAGAGTTGAGTTGAAACAAGCAGACGTATTTCAGTTAGATCGCGGTACCGTTTGATCTTTCGTGATGTTATTGTGCTTGTTATTCTTGGAACGAAGAATTGGATTTGATCGGCTAACGTGTTTGAATCCCCCGAGCTTAATTTCTCTCGTCGATTTTTTTGTTTTTGTTTTTATCGTCCGTCGTTGGGCTTTCCTCTCTTTCGTACTACTCGAATAATAACTTCGAAAGAGACAGAGACAAATGAATATGTAAAATTGTAAACACGATGAAAAGCACAGACAATAGGAACAGAGAATAACACAATTTAAAAAAATATAATATTTATTTAACTAAAGTGACCGTCTGAAATTATGAGGGACTGTCTCAAGTTTTAACTGTTTGTCCCGTTTTACAACGCGTCTTAAATTTTGTTCAAAATTAAAGACATAATTATAAATTGTCCTTTTTTTAAGTCTGAAATAAAAAACGAATAATGAAATAATAAATGTAAAATATAATTTTCGATAACAAATTTTCTAACATAATTTTTTATTTAAAATCCGAGATATTCATAAAATACATTAAATAGAAAAGTACAATTTAAAAAAATAAAATGTGATTTCGTGACTTCGTGTAATTTTTATTGTAATCTCATATAATATTACATTTTAAGTATTATTATTTACAAATATAATAATATAATGTGTTTAATTAATAATTGTGAAAAATATTTATTTATTAAAATTTACAATCTTATTGATATTGAATTTGTTTTTAAATATTCCTCCCTTTTTTCTTCTTAAGGAGTTAATCTCTTTAGATTTAACATCTTGCGGTGTTTATGTAATTCTCACTGTGTTGCTATTAAAAATTATAATATTAATAGTAAAAATTAGAAATAGATGAATTAATTGAACCGAGTTAATCTATATATTAGTGGAAATTGATATAACATGGTGAAAGTTATATAGACACTGTATGGTATTAAATCCAGATCGATATTTTTTAAAGTGCAGATTTCAATCTATCAGAAATCGTATCAGAATTATTCTTTGTTTCTATTGTGTATGCTTTTCAATTGAATCTCGGGCTTTCTACAATAGACCATTATCTAAGCTTTTTAAGTCTCAAGCTGTAAGAAATCGACCAATTATAGTCGACTATTCTTTTCACATTCGACTGTGATTGATCAATTTTTTATAGCTTTAGACTTAAAGCTTAGATTATAACTTATTATAAAAAAATCTTAAATGAGTCCCGAAACACAATGAGTGTAGCTTTAAACCGTAGAAGAAATCAATCAATTACAGTCGATTATTCTTCCTACATTCGACTGTGATTAGCCAATATCTTACGGTTTAAAGCCCCAGACACAATACGAAGGAATAGCGATAGAAACACAATTTCAACCTATCAGAAACTGTATATTCCAGTGTATCTGATTTCTGGAAGGTTGAAATTATATTATTTTTATCACTATCGCTATTCCTTCGCATTATATCTGGGGCTTAAAGTTTGCTACTCCTATTGTGTTTCGGGAATTAGCATTAAACACAATGAAGAAAAGAATAATAGGAGGAATAAGAGGTTTCAACTTATCAGACATGGTGTATATTAAAATACACCGTTTGATAAGTTGACATCTGTTATTCCTCAGTTTCTATTGCATGTGCTTTTCACTGTGTTTAAGGCTTTACTCGCTCATCGCCATCACGGTATGCGATATACAGGAATACAGGTGTGCGTGTCCACGTGAAAGCAAAACCGCTGTTCTCCGCGATGTCGGCTACGCCAAGTTCGACAACTCGGTCGTGCAAGTAGAACGACGGCGAGTTGCTCTTTTCCTGGCTTCCGTAATCTCGTTACATTAGTTTCTTGCAGTTAACAGTAGTAGCAATAATAGAAGCATCAACTTGTTATCCAGAGTAACGATTATCAGTACAGTTAACATCTATCGACAGTCGCTATCGGTATCAGAATGCTTTAGAAATATCATTTATTCATCCGTCTCTATTTACACTCTTTAACTGTCTCTATACGTGTTACATTTATTGAATTATTTAATTGAAATGTAACGTTAAATGTATACATTAAGAAAAATGTCTGGTTGAAAATGGACGAAAATTCTGATCATATCATTGGAAATTCTGATGATTATCTCTAAACTAGAATTCTAATTTAACAAAAAATTCGAATTTTCAATTAGAATTCCAATTAATCTAATTACGTTCTTTTCAGTGTATATTTTTTCAATTGGCACACACACACACACACACACACACATACATATACAATGATGTCATTGTAATCCAAATAATATCTCTGTGAAGTTGGCCCCACTTTTTCAAAAAATTAAAAAAATAAGTAGTTTTTCATCAATTTTAGAAACAGTTCCGTCGATTAAAGGGGTGAAAACACCATTTGAAGTATCAGGAGGGCCAACTTCAGGAGAGCCATTTCATGATTCCGAAACTTTCCAAATAATGTTAATTTCCAATAACGGGATCGTGAATGTTTTTTTGTTTTTCGGATTAATCCAATTAGACATTTTTTATTGAGAAAAATATTACAGATGTGAACAGCCATAATTTTGATTTGTTGAATTATCACAATTTGATTTTAATTTAATTAAACTGTGTTGTTTTGATTTAAATTTTGTTATTCTAACCAAATTTTAATTAAAACAACATAATTTATAAATTAAAATTTTAATTATTCACGTATCAATAAAATTACGGTTGTTTATACCAAACATTTCTCTTAGTGTTCTCTATTTTTTTTTAATTGGTACATAATTATAGTTAATACTAACTTTCAATAAATTTCGAGAAATATCATTTGATCTATGGAATCTTTTTTTCTCAAGTTGATCCAACCAAACATTTTTCTCAATGTATATTTTTCGATTTACACTGAGAAAAATGATTTGGTTGAAAATTGACAAATCAGAAAGTTCTTATTAAATCAATCAAAATTTCGATTATCTCACCTAGAATTCTGATATAGATTTGATAAGAATCTTCTGGTTTATTTATTTTCAACCAAATCATTTTTCTCAGTGTAGCACACTGAGAAAAATGATATTATTATATTATTGTAATCGCGTCAGTTTTTCATTAAGACAAGAAATATGATCACTTGATCTACGGGATCGCGAGAATATCTTTTTGTTTCTCTGAAGATCCAAAGGAAGCGTCGAGTCTCGATACTAGAGATTCGGCTCGCACGCGTGCTTTCACTTTCGTCTCGGCTCTCTAGCCAACGCAAATCATCGCTCGCCGTCGTATAACGTTTTATCGGTACGATCGGCCCGTTCTTATCTCGGCACGCTCGTTCGTTCTCCCCATTTCGACGATTACGTATCGGGGCATAGCGTCTCCCGTCTGCTTTTTCCTTCCGTGTTATCTCTCTCTTTCCTCGTAAGCTCTTGGCGAAACAAGGACGCGGCTTTTCACCGCGCGGAATAAATGGCAAAGAGGACGTGATAAGCATGCGCGGGGAGGAGGACGAGGTGGTGACCACGATTGGCCGGCACGACGTGTAGCAAACTGTTGAATCGCGCCTATTAAAAGCGGAGGTGGGAGACAGAGGAGCTTCCTGCGTGCGAATCGCGACGTAACCGTCTCCGATGGCAATCAACGATCCGTTGCCCGATCTCGGAAAATAAGAAATACACCGAGAATAAATGCTTTGATTGAATTAAATTGTAATTCTGGTGGAAAATGGACGCGAATCAGAAAAAAAAAATTTTTTTCTGCTTAAATCTGGAATTCTAGTTTGAGATAATTAGAATTTTCTGATTGATACAATTATTCTGGTAAAAATAAAATTTTGTAGCAGATTTTACCAGATATATTGTATCAACCAAAATTTTGATTATCTCAACTGGAATTCTTCCAATAAATTTAACCAGAAAATTCTAATATGTACATTTTCAGCTAAAAAAATTTTTCAGTATAACATTATCAAATCTGCTCAAGCAAAAATGCATATTAAAACACAAATAACTGAGAAATATCGCATAAACTGATAAGAAAATTGTATACATCTCCTTTTTTTGGGAATAATTTTACATAGAAATGAAGAACGTTATGCCGCACGATATTTGTAATAAAATATATTATTTTCATAATATTAAGCAAAAATGTTCGAATGAATTCTTTCTTTCTATATAATATTGCTCTCCAAAGAATGGAATGTGTAGTATCTTAATTATTATATTACTTGGGGCGTTTTCTACACACGCTCCGCTAAGCTTCCTGATTCATTACTTGAAATGACTGAAAATTTCCACTGTATGTAAAAGTTTACTATATATAGAAACTTTACTATATAGAAGTTTACTATATACGTTGCTGTCATTAAGCTTATCTTTAGACCTGTCTCAGTCATTTAACGAATGATAATTTGTATAGATACGACATAAATGCGATAAAATGATGTATTTTAATTCTAATGCATGAAAAAGACAGCATCTATTATCATCTTGATTGCAAGAACAAAGATTGCATGTTGTCACTTTCAACACTTGGTGCAATTACAAATGCATATTTAATTCAAATGAGATTTAAAGCGATAATGTATTTTTAAATGGATTTCATAAGTACGATCCCACTTCTGAGGCTTTCGCTGTAGCCATATTGAGAAACCCAGAGATTATCTGAAGTTTCTTCTCACACTATACGTTCGATAAATTAATTTTTCTCGCCACTATTTGACAATATAAGTCGGTGATATATACAAATGAATTATCTTAAATTTTCAGTGAAAACGAATTCTTACAACAATTTAAAGACAATTTAAAGTCTATTAATCCATGTCATTTTATTTGCAAAGATAAAATTATGGAACTAATAATATTAAAAATTATTACTGGTATGTTATAAAAAAAAATACAAAAAATACTTTCTATTTCTACATTTTTTTTATTTTTTTTATCATGGAAACCAGAAATTATCATTATAATGCGACTACACTCAAGTAAAAAATGACATATTGAAAAAAGAATAATATCCTTATTCATAACATTACAAAATCGCTGTCTGCATTTTAATCATTTAAAAACTTATTCATAGTTGTTGACCTAATTCTGAAAATTTAAAATTTTATGTTGAGTTTTTATTCATCTAAAAATAACATTGTTAATGTATAAAGATTAATGATTAGAATACATGTTAATTTTTTATCTTACAACATATTTATTACAAATTTTAAAACATTATTTATGTATTTAAAACAAAGATTTATTTTCTTTAGAAAAATATTATAAAATTGATCGAAGAGGCAAATCGAATTTGTTCTGATTATATTCAATTGTTTAAAGTATCGAGCTCATTATTATTCTATTATTAATTCAGAATGTGTTTCGAATAAATTTGATGTTTATGATGAATTTATAATAGGTTTGCCGATATATAAACTTTCAAAATATTTGAAACAACTAATTATTATTTGCGTATAGAGTGTATTTTTCTGTGCGTAAAGTAAAAGTGACGACCGGTATATTTTGCTAATTTACATTACGACATCCAAATAAATTTGTTTCATACATACATAACATGTACATTAAAAAAATAAAACATCACATGATTTCTCGCCTCTGACTCAATATACGATAACGTAATTCGACATGATTGCGGCAATAAGAAAATTTTATCGACCATTTGTCGCGTGGAAACTGCTGTCGGAAAGAGATATATATATATATATTTTTTTTTTTTTCCGAAAAAGCTTTTTCGTAATTCACGCGTGCGTGTCGTGTGCGTGGTTGGTGCACGGAGGAACGGAGGAGCTAGTCAATGGTAAGAATAAGAGGTTAGAAAGAGGGAGACGGAGAGGAAGGCCACGCGAAGACCGAAGCGGCGCGAAGTCACGCGGAATTGCGGAGTTTCGCGAAGTCGCGCGGAACCGGCCGAGCGGTCGCTTCGTGCGACTTCGGGATTCGGTACATGTGGCAATCGGCGGCTACGCAGCGCCGCGCTCTCGCGTTCCGTTTGCCGTTCGCAACCTCATCCGGCGCGCGAGCATATGGTCGCGGACACGGACCGCGCGTTACGATTCTTCGGTAAAGTGAGTATCCCGTTTTCGCCGAGAAGTTTTCGATCGAGAGTGTCGCTTGGGAACGTACATGTAAGATTCAATCTGCGCTCCTCTCTGTTTTCCCTCCTATTTTTTTTTCTTTTTTTTCTTTTTCCTCCTCTCCGTTAACGAGGACCGCGGGTGGTTGACGGACTCTCGCGTAAGCATGTATAGCGCGTATAGCGCAATAACAGCGACCGGGTTCCGCTCGGATCGCTACTAACGCGTCTGAAAACGTCGCTCTAGGAGAGAGAGAGAGAGAGAGAGAGAGGGAGAGAAAAAGAGAGGTGAAGATAGAGAGAAGAGAATCTCCGTTCCATTCTACGGCGGAGATTATATAATTTCCTCGAAGCGCGTTCCTAAGCGTCTGGTAACGGAATCGGAATAACATTCGCGAATCTACACTACCGTTTCGCACCTGACACACCCGATAGAGATTGACGTCCATGCGACCGCGCGTGTCACCGTTCGCCGACGAAGGGGCGGGCGATATCGCCGATAGACGGTCGAGTCGATAGGGGAAAAAAAAAGGGAGGGAATAGTAAAGAAACATGTGCTCGACGTGATACGGTCATCACTATACCTATCGCCAGTGTAAACGGTCACCAACGATCACTGTGCACGAGACGACGATCTACGGCCGAAATGTCCACGTTGATAGGTGAGTTTATCATGCGCGCGCCGACGCCGCGCCAGTGCGTGTTTCCTTATGTTCTTATCCAATGTTTCTTCCCCAAACTTTCCGCGCGGCGCAACTTTGGTTTCTCTCGCGATTTCCTTTAATTTTTGTGTCATTATCGACGTGTAATATTATTAGCGGATGGAAATATTACGCAAATTCGTGTTGCTTGAACCTTCTGAAGATGTCGCGTCGAATGGTGTCTGGTGTCATAGCCACGTGACAACGTCGTCGTTGACCTGCCTGATGTTTACCGAATGGCAAGTACCTACTCAATTCGCGCGATCGTTGGTAAACACGTGTCACTTCGTTTTGATAGCTGTTTCTTTCGATTTTTTCTTGATATTTTTCCACCGATGTAGATTAACTTTAATCTCTGTTTAATTTACTTTTTAGTTTTAAGACCCGCTAAAGAATAAAGAATAAATTGATTGAAATTTTTTTTTTAAAGATTAATTTATCTTTTTCTAATGCTCGTTTCTACAGAGTTTAATTTTAATCTCTCTTTAATCTAACTTTTCATCTTTTTTCAATTCTAGGAATTAGAAAAAAATGAAGAGTAAGTTGAACCAAGATAAGTTAATCTACACTGTTAGAAACGGACGTTAGAAAAAGATAAATAGTTGTTAAACCGAGATTAATCCGAAGTTAATCTTATATTGGCGGAACATCGTTAAAGAATGATAAAAAAACGAAGAGTAAATTGATATTAAAGTTAATCTACATTGATGGAAGTGGGACATCTTCCTTTTATATTCATTTCTACCAATTTTAATGTTGATTTAACTAGCCCTTCATCCTTTTCTAGTTCGAGAAAGTAAAAAAGATAAACAGCAAGTTGAATCGAGATTAAAATTAATCAGGTACATAAAAACAGGCATTACTCATCTTGTTCTAATTTTTATTAGACCAAGAAAAAGGTAAAAGGTCGAACCGAGATAAAAATTAATCTACTCTTGAGAGAAACTGGCAATATTTGTTGAGAATGAAGAACCTTTATCGCTTCTTCCTCTCCCTAATCTCTACAGGCCTGCGATCCTACATTCTTTCGATAAAATGAAATACAAAGAAATAGCATTTCGTAAATACTTGGAACCTTGGGAGAAAAATGTTTGGTATTTATAACCACAATTATATAATTATTATTACTGTTATAATAATGATAACAGTAACTGTATAGTTCTAGCAACAAATATATATAGTTGGCAACCTAAAATGATTATAATTATAGTTATTATAACCATAAAATAATTAAAATTACCATAAAAATGATTCAAGTGACTATAATTTTACATTTATATTTATTATATTTTGGGACAACATATTTTTTATGTTCGTTTCATTGTTATGGTAATTTCAACTATTTTACGGTTATAATAACTACAATTATCATTTCAATTGTCATTTTAAAAAATTGCCAACTATATACATTTGTTGCTAAAATTATATACATAGTTACTGTTATTATTAATATAGCAATAATAATCATAATTATAGTAATATACAATATAATTATGGTTACAAATACCAAACATTTTTCTCTCATAGTGAAACGTTATCTCGGTTATGGTTTTCTCAGTCGATAGCGTTCTACTGATATTTTGTCGATATATCCCAGTACACTTGAGACGTCTTATCTCTTTTCTATTTGCCAGATAAGAATAATCTCCTTGCTTCAATCTATCGGACCATGCAGGAGGGAGGGGGTCTTGGAACATCGTGTCACCGAAAAACTTTCTAGGAACTCTGACCATTGACACGTTTGTTTTTATGAGGATGATGCGACGCGACGCGACGCGACGCTCCGTTAGGCGTCCAGCGTGTTTACCTAGCTCGTCAAGGTCTCGCGTTTCGAGTCGCGTCTCGTTGAATAAGAAATCCGCTGCAAAGGGCAATACAAATAAAATTGCGTAACGCGCGTGCGAGTCAGAGTCGAATCGGAACGACGGCGATAGCGACAAGTTGCAATTTTATAGCTCGATATTAATTGAAATTGGAATTGATTTGTAAACAAGGAATGCGATAAAACGCGAAAATTTCTCCGTTTAATTAAAACGGGAAATAATTCTGAAAACGGTATGCCTCGTATACAGAGAAATTTTAAACCTTCCGGTCATTGCGGCGCTTTTTAGTTGATGTTATCCAATCTCGTTTATTACAAATATTTATAGCGTCGCGTGCCCGAATATTTTCAGTTTTACATTCGATCGATGAAAAATACGATACACATATATATTATATTTTTTTCGTCGTAAACGCGTCGATGGTTTAAAATTCGTGTCGCTTTAGATTCTCTCTCTCTCTCTCTCTCTCTCTCTTTCTCTTTTCGTAGCGTTGAAAAATATTAGATAAAATTGTTTTTGTAGGGATACTAAACTCGAATACAGCAGCTTATATTGTATTTGTATTGTACACGAGGTACCTTTCTCTTTCCGATTCGCGAATGGATATTCGTTGGAGTAAGATGGTCGACTAAGTAATAAGCGGTCAGATCGATTAATTCCGAGATCTGATGTGCATGCCAAACATTCTGTCCATTGTCGGTTGATGCACTTAACGGTAAATTGGAAACCGTTCTAAACCGTTAAGGTAGGACGTTACACGTTTTTGAGACGAAGCAGATGCGAAAGTAAATTTAATTGAAATTTCTGTCTTTCGGATGGAATTCGAACCGAAGTCAGATGACAGATGTTTTAGTTTTGACCATTCTATAATCTTTTCAGGCAAAAAACATGTCATTCTTTTATGATTTATTCTCTCAGGTATACCCAGCTTAGAGAAAATATTTCAGCGACGTGAAAAAATACAGAGATGAATTTAATACCATGCGATGTTTATAATTCTCATTCATATTTGTTTGAATAGTGTTAGTTAAATATTTACTAAAAGTAAAAATATATTTATTTATAAACTACAAGAATACATTCATTTCACTTAAACTATATTTTTCTATTTAGTATTTATATATTTTTTTCTCTCAGTGCATTATATTGGTTATTAATATTAATATTAATATTAACATCAATGTAATGTACTAAGAGAAAAATGTACTGAATTTTAATAATTAATTACTTGAATTTTGGACTGTACGAATCTGTGCAAGTGCAGTTCGTTATTATTCGTTTATATTTCATAATTCTTGTTTTATTATTTAACATTTTATAATTCGTATAATATACATTGTGTAATTTTTACATTTTTGTTTTTCAAAGATAAATACGAGCGTTTATTACTATTCTAGGACAAACTCTACACTGAGAGAAAAATTTTTGGTATTTGTAACTTATATATATATTATTTATAATCATTATTATTGCTGAATATTAATAATAATTGTAATTATATTTAGGTTACCAACTGTATATTTGTTCATAGAGAGCTGTACATATATTATTATTGCTAACATCGTAGCAGTAATAATTTTAGTAAGATGTGTAAGATAATTACAATTATAAATATTAAAAATTTTTCTCAGTGTAAGAAAGAGAAAAAGAAAAACATACAAATAAGAAAAGTAATACAGTAAAAATAATAAAAGAGACAATTTGCACACATCCGGATGTCTAATGTCCGACAATCGCGCAGGTAGATGAAGACTTTAAATAAAAGCGAAATATTCCCCTCGTGGTCATTCATCGACCTGCGTTCGATTATGCAGTCACTTTAAATATCTATCTTTAGACGGTTTAATGGATATTTTTCGCACGTGGCGATATTTGAATTTCCTGGTGACGTAAAGCGACTTTGAAGTCGTTCGGTTTCGAATAATGAGGCTCGCTACTCGCGGACGACGCGACGGCGGGTGAAAGGTGGCCATCGGCGCATATAGATTCGAATCGAAGCCGGGATAGACGGAGAACCGGCAGAAAATGCGCATTCCTGGCAAGGCCGCTCGCTCGAGAAAGAGGCCACCGAACATCCGGGGAGAAACTAACCGTACTTCATTCGCTCGCTTCTCCCGTCCCTCTCCCTCTTCGCCGACCGATCATTTTACGGTTACGTTACGTCGTACAGATAGTCGGATTATCTAGATCACGTGACGTTCGTTATCTTCAGTTTTTACCGATTTTACGATTGTTTCTGTCTGCGGAATCTTCCGCGGTGCTACTTACCTCCATCTACACACAACAGAAATGTTTTGTTTGAATAACCATAATTTGATTGACGTGTGAATTGGGTACGAAAACTTTCTTATTGTTTAATTAAAGAATTGGGTTATTCCAATTAAAATTTGCTTATTTCAACTAATTTTTGATTGGAATGCAATACAACTTTTAAATTAAAAATGTGTTTGTATAATTTATGTATGAACTACTTACGGTTATTATATAAAACATTTTTCTCAGTGATTATTTTAATCAAATTTTTATTGGAACATTACGATATTTAAATTAAATTAAGAAATGAGAAAGTTTTTATAACTTCTATATGGAAACCAAATTATAGTTATTTATATAAAATCTTTCTCTCAGTATGTCGTCATACAAAACCTTTCTCTCAAAATCGTTAAAGTTGCATTTTTATTATACCTGAAAAAAAGAAGGGATGTTTTTTTCTGGATTTTTTTCAATTGACATTGCTTATCACATGATTTATCTTCATGTATGCACACAGAAAAAAATATCTGGTTGAATTAAGGAGGCATTTGATGAAATATAAGACAAGTCTATAATATACATGTAATACAAAAGTTAATAATATCAATAATATCTAGAAAAAATTTTATTGACTTTTGCCATACCATTTTGAAGATACTTAATTCTAAATTTATAAAATTTTACATTACAAATTGAAAATATAACCTTATTCTATAGTTATTCTCTTTTAAATTCAGACACTGCATAAGATAGCAATTTAAAAATGATTATATAATTATGAAATAAACAATTAAATTTGTAAAGTTTCATTTAAACTAACCGTACAGTTTACAAGAAATTTATATTTTTCAATGAAAGAAAGCTAGAATATGTCAAATAGACGAT